CAACATACATACAGTACTGGATATGTAGCTACTAAATTTTACCCACCAGTTCTGCAGAACAGGAGCAACTCTCGGTTCTGGTCCGACTCTGTTCCGTTTCTGCAGACCTACCCTGCAGCAGTCCACAATCAATGCTCTAAACTCTTAAACCTACTATTTTTAACAACATACTTATCCCAACCGGAGGTCCATGTGTGCCGGCTGAAAGAGATGAGAAAAGTGCCGGTGAGCTCCGGATGGACCATCGGACCTTTGGCGAATTAGCGAGGAACTACTGTATTTATAAAGCCAAAAGGTGGTAATCCAATTCACACATTAAGACTTTTACTCAGTTTTACTTTGAAATTGTGTAGGAGTTGTAGTTTGCAATAGTAATATTCACTTTCTTGTCAGAAATTTAATTTAATTAATTACAGAAAGATGAAACTAACAGAAAAGCAGCTTACCGTGTTTAAACTTTAACAACGCTGTGATTTTAATACAAGACATCGTCTACTGACAAAACCTTCAGTAACGCGTTAAACGACCGGTCCGTGCTGTGATTTCACCTTTATTTACACGTGTGATGATACCTGCTCACCTGGACCAGGTGCACCCTCTTTTTCACCTTTAGGAATTAAACTGGCGTGGAGAAAATTACTTCCTTACCCGGCTGGCCTCTGCGGCAGTCCGCTGTGCTCTAAATATCAGCCCAGTGGACATCAGCCGGGAGGTGGTGGACGGGTGCCCTCTGGGGCTCGAACCACCGGCCCAGAAGCGCTGGATGGCAGCTGTGTGCAGACGTCTGCAGCTCCAACCACTGTTGGAACACCAGTCGGAGCTGCTGCTGTAGCTCTGACCATAGGCGTTTAAACTCTGGACCCAAAGTTTCTTGGGTTTAAAATAAAGTGCATTTTTTTCTGTCAGAGTTTGATTCCATTTGAACACCGGCTGATCTCACATTTTGGTTCGTTAACCCACATTCCCAACAACGAGTTTGTTTTCCTGTGTAGTTTGTAATTCACCTGCACTTACCAGCCCCACTTTCAGCCTTTCTGTGTGTGTCCCGCCGCAGAACAAGGCCTCTATTGACGAGCCTGGTGCGGTTCTGGAAGGCGTCCAGAGTGGAGCAGAGTGAAAAAGGAGAGTGTTGCCGGCTGTTTGAGGGGCCCTGGTGCTGCTGAGAGGTTTGCAGTGTTTCACACTGACTCAAACCTCCAGCCTCCTCTTTGCTTTCCTCAATGGAGCTCTGAGAGCAGCAGCCTCACACGCTCTGAGCCAAGATGGTTCTCCCACAAAGGGCCACCGTGGCCCCATTTCAGATGCACGCATTTGTCCCGTTCAGTCAACTGACCCAGATAGTATTCTCTGCTTACATCCAGTGTTACTGCGTGCTGATGTAGGACTGAATAAAGTAATACATTACTGTACATAAGTTTGGACCTGTTCATCTGTAGTAGTATATACTCGAAAATAGGGATGCACGATATTATCGGCATGGTATCGTATCGGCCGATATTATCGTTAAAGTTAAATATCGGACATCGTCCGTTCCACCAAAATAACTCACTAATATATACCCTTGCTCTGTTACACAATCTTTGTAGCAAATAGGGTTATTTTCTGACAAAGGAAAGAAGCTGACAATATTTTTTGCACTTTTGATTTTATTTGCACATAACGACAGAATTCATAGAAATTTGAGTTGATCATTAAGATTCTATAACCACACTTCTGTTTTTAGTTAATTTTTAATTTAAGAAACTGTCGAGTACGTCTGTCAATGCACTACTACTTGTGCGCTTTTCATTCGTCGCTTGTGAACAGGTTGAGTTTAGATTTGAAAATTTACAAATTTGCACTGTTCGAGTGTTGCCATTGTATAAATGAGTAATCAGAAAATAGAGTAAATATCGGCTATCGGCCAAATAAGTTTTAACATATTGGCATATCGGATATTGGCCAACAATCCAATATCGTGCATCCCTGCTTGTAACGTTACCATTTAGACATTTTTGAGAGTTTTTTTTCTTTTAAAAGCTTTAAATATTTTTTAAAGCGAACACCCAGAACAGCAAAGATATTGTTAGTTTGTCTCCGTCCTCCTACACCTCCGGACCTCCAACGTGGCTGCAGGGCAAACTGCACTGAGCCAACTCTCCGTGGAGCTCTTTAAACCCCGTTCCTATCGTTTTTTTTATTTTATTTTATTTTTCTGCATCATTTTCTGGAGCGAAAGCTGCGAAGCTTAGAGGGGATTTTCTTTCTAAGCTGATTTGTATCAGCTGATAGCTCTGCCATGAAGCTTTGCTCTGGCTTGAATGAATGAATACACAGATGGAGGGGAAAAGAAATGAAAGGATAGTTGGAGAACGAGGAGCGGCTGTGCTATTATCCTTCTGAAAGGTAATACCCAGAGAAGGTTTAAAGGGAGGTTTGCTGTTTTACACTTCAACTCTAGCGTTTTGTTTGATTTTAAAGAACCTGAAGACGGAAAAAAAAAGGATGGATGAAGTTGGTGCGACGGTAAAGTTAAGATGTAGATCATCATTGGGATCAAAGAGACGACGAGAAGATTTGAGAAATTTATAAAGGAGATGAGGAAAAATTATTTTAAACAAACTATACAAGAACAGGATGGAAAAAGAATGATGCAAAGTAGACATGAGTTGAAAACAGGAGTCTTAGGATGGAGGGATGGAGACGAAAAGGAGAAGCAGCAGTCATGTTGTATTATTATGAAGGAAGAATGGCTGGATGGAGCTCTTTAATGGGAAACGCGAACGTGTCATGTAGCTGTCAGCTTTAGTGAGGTGATAAATGTCCGGTACCATGACCTTTTCTACACATTATTCCCTTTTACAAACATCCATCTGCGCAGCTCTAACAACTGACAGAATATAGATTAAAAATTGGCTGAAACACCCAAATGTTGAACGTTTTAGTCACCATGAATATGCAGAACGCTTTTTGTCTTCTACTGATTTTTAGGACAAGCCAAGCAACCTTACCAAACATAAAAAATGGCTTTACTTCCGTCAGGTTTACAAATAATGAGCCATAATTTAGTATAGCAGTAGCTGAGAGCCATCTGCAGCGCTTCCTCGAAACTCTGAACATTGCAACGCACCTTTGTGCTTTACTTTAACGTCAACACGCTTTCTTAGCAAAATCTCTTAATGATTGCTGACCTGGAGCAAAGAGAGAAAATGGAAATACCATCCGACCATCCGTCTTGTGAGCTGTATAGCTTGTAAAATAAGTGAGGTACCGACTTGTGTCAGCTTAAGAGCCCAACATACTACATCCGAAGTGCTGAAATTGGCTCTCGTTGTCGTAGCTGCATAACAAAAATTGCGTCATTTTGTTCTCAGAGAACCTTCGCTCGCCCCTTCTCGACACAAGGCCTTGGCCAAACTTTTTCTCGTATGCGCCAAGTATTTTGCGATTGGTCAGAAATTTGTGGGCGTGTTCGTCAATGTGGAAAAGCGCTCGGACATTCAGCTGTACCACTCTTCAAACACACTAAATCAGTCAAATGGCCCAAAACTCCTGGATAGAGATTGTGCACACATCGTGTATGGAGGAGTCTGTCTGCTGGAAAGTGTGGCGCTTTCTTCGTGGTAGATTTGTGACCAAACGGCAGATCCAGGATTGGAATGGAGACTCTGGTGGAAAGAAACCTGTGCAGTGACGCACTCTGCAGGAGGACAAGCCTCCTAGGACCTCTGTGTCTGTGTCTCATGGACTATGAAAGGTGTGTGCGAAAATGTCCTGCAACCACAAGACCACACATGGACAGTTCGGCTTCAGATAGAGTACTCCGGGCCCTTTATTGTGTGGTTGCACCTAGTTGTAAGATCAATCACTCTCAAAAGTTGGGTTGTCGCGTCAAAATCAACGATGGCTATGTACACGTATATATAAACCGCCCACCTCCATCGTTTGAGGAAACTGTGTTCTTGTTTTTATATTACCTAAAAGTATAGCTTCCTCAAATGATTGAGGTGGCCCTTGGGGTGGTTGAAGATTAATCTGTGGTGGCCAAGGCCACCTTTGGCCACCCACTGGCTCCGTCATTGCAACTAGCGATGGATAAAATTGCTCCCTCCATTCACCAGGATCTCACTGTGTGCTGCCTCAAACAAGCAAAATCATCCTACCTCTGTTCTTCTACAGAGTAAATCCTAAATATCTTGCACCAAAAACATTAAAGTTAACCTATTCCCTGTTCAATTCTAGTCCAGAAAAACACTAATCTTGAAAACTGCAAAACATTCACTATTCAAAAGCCTCAGCGATGGTGAACGGGCGTACCGTTTGTAAAGTACTGAACCAGTTTTATGAAACGTTTAAAATCATTAGATGTTTATCTACAACTGGTTGATATTTGGAGTCAGTTCAAATCAAGATGGCCACCTTAGCTAAGCCAACACAAAAAAATGACTAGAACTTACTCAAAATTACCGTAATTTCCAGTCTATAGAGCGCACTTGACCATAAGCAGCGCACACTAAATTTAAAATAAAACATAATTTGTACATAAATAAGCTGCGCTTGTGTATAAGCCACAAGTGTCCACATTTTAATATCAGAAAACAAAATATTACCATATTTATTATTTAAAAAATACATTAATTAGCTGCGGCATTGTATAAGCCGCGGCGTCCAAGGTGTGTGAATAAAGTAGCGGCTTATACACCAGAAGTTACCATACAGATATTGAGATGGAGTTTATATAGTAGTTGTTTAGCTTCATCAACACGTACTCATTAACACATCATCTGAACTGTTGCCGTGGTGGCCATCTTGAATAAAAATGTTGTCATTAAAATCATTAGGTGATTTTCATTCCATTAATTTCTTATTTGAATGTGACTTTATCACATCTCCCCCCTGAGAAGGTTCCTTTAGCTTGTCTCATTCCTATGAGTCGATCAAATGCACTAAAGTTCTGTACATTTACTCCACAAGTAAACAAGAGAAAAAAATCTGATCTTAAATTAAATTGTCTTTCACAGTTGAAGAAGCTGCTGCTGACTCCTCCAAACGTCCCCACAGGCATCGATGTGCACAAAGATGGGGTCCACAGCCATCGCTACGGCAACAGAAGTCTCCGCCTACGACCAGCCAGAGCACTGACCAAGGTACGTTGATTAGGTGACTGGAGAAGACGGTTTCAAACGTAGGACATCTTTCCCTTTAAACGTTTATGTTTCAGCGAAAGGACTTGGATGCTCGTCCACACACGTGCCAGCGCCTGTTCTCTGAACGCCGGTGAAATAACAAAATTGGATTTTTTTTTTTTTCCAATCACTTCCTGTCAGGGTGGCGAGTTAAGACCGGAGTGATTTACAGTTGTGTGTTGTATCTGCAGCATTGCTGCGGCTGCAGAAGATGGGTTTGATCACTGTGTATTAATTACAAGGAAAAAAAAGCTATTTGATATTATTGGATTGGGTTCTCCTGATTTTTAAACGCAGCGTTGTCAACAAATTGTGCAAAAATGTCTGCTGCATTTTGGTTTCTGCAATTAAAAAACTGCTCAGGAGGAGTTGAAGGGCTGGCTTTGTGTCAGTCCATAAAATGGTGTAGCACTGCTAGAATATCAAGGGAGTCGTTGATACCTTAACAACTTTGTGACACATTTACTTTGCTTTTAACCGTCTTAAATTCATAATCATACTTCCATAAGAAAACTCTTATAAAAAGGTTTATTAAAGAACCAAAATAAGGTTTTGTATTAATAGTTAAGGTGGTTTATTGGTTAAAGAAGTTACATTTGCACTGTGTAGAATTTAGAAACTTACTTCACATTAAAATCCTCCAAAGTTGCATCTTTTTTTTTTATTTTTATTATTTAGGGGCTTAAATAAACTATTTAACTTTTCATTCCATTTACTTTTTTAATGTGTTAGCCAGTACAACGAAATGTTTTTGGGTTTATTTTCAGCTTCTCCCTCCTGCAGGGGTTGCCGCAACAAGCAAACTCACATTAAAGATATGGCAATTTTATTTTACGCCAGACGCTGTTTCTGAACAAACGTGGGCTCAAACCAGCAACCTCAGGATTACAAGACCGCAGCGCTGACCACTGAGCTACTGAGCTACTGAGCCTGCCAGTAACCAAAAAGACAGAAAATAAAATTGGTCACTTCGTTGGTTCTATGCTGTTTATATAAACAGGAAATGATATCAGAAACATGCACAATGCAGCCAGAAGCAGGCGTTCTATTAGGACACGTTTTCCAAAAGGACATTTTATTTTAGAATAAAACTTTGAGCGATCAAGCTTGTAGAAACTTTCGGCTGCAGCTTATGATAAATGTGATGCAGAGGAGGAGAGGACACCTACATCGGCTACCGCTGTATGACTTAGCAGTAATTGGATAGCTGCTAGCATTGTGCTTCAAGTGGCCATTGATTACAACAGCAGTCATTTATCTCTTACAAGAATAGGACACTTCACTCAGACTTCTGCTTCTGCTCAGGGGAGGGGGATACAGGAAGCTCACAGGAAGCGGCTGGGGATGAGCCAAGCCTGGATGTGTCACACACACTCTTTATAAACTCACCGTTGTTGTTGGCAGTTCGTGTGCGAGAGTTGTAGTTTAGAGTGGGGTGGCTTTGCTGTGGCAGATGGTGGAAGTATTGACTGATGGGGCAAAAAAGAAAACAGTGAATCAAAATCGCTGCACACTGAATCATCCCTCATCAAGCCAGAGGGAAACATTACTGGATTCCTGCTCGATGATTCGGTGTCCACACAAAGAAATTGGTGCTTTTAAATTAGTTTTCTCACATTTATAGAGAGTGTTGTGTTCTGTTAGGCTCCTCCCATTTCATGGGTTGTCACAGCGAACAGACTTCACATGAAAAAACTGGTATTTGTTTTATGCCAAAGACCCTCTAACACAACTTAAGCTGGACCCTGCAGCCTCGAATTACCAGACCATGGCACTGACCACCAAGCTACCACAACCAGAAATATACAGTAGACAGTGAAGTACAACCTGATTTAAAAAAATGTTGAGATGTTACGTAAAATATAAATTATAACAGAATACAATGATTTGCAAATATCATAGCCTATATTTTATCCACAATGGACCGTAGTAAACATATCAAATGATGAAAGGAAGAAATTGTAATATTGAGTTTGAAGCAGCACATCTCAGAAACATTCCAGGTCCATGTTTCCTCTGTGAAGCAGCTCCTCTTCTTTTAACAACTGTCTGTAAACGTCCAGGACCTGAGGAGACCAGATGATGGAGGTTTTGTTGGACCTGAGAACACCAGTTATTGGAGGTTTTGGTGGACCTGAGGAGACCAGTTGTTGGAGGCTTTGTTGAACCTGAGAACACCAGTTATTGGACGTTTTAGAGGACCTGAGGAGACCAGTTGTTGGAGGTTTTGGTGGACCTGAGGAGACCAGTTATTTCAGGTTTTAGAGGACCTGAGGAGACCAGTTGTTGGAGGTTTTGGTGGA